AGAACTGCAGCTTTTAATGGACGCTGCATTTAGTACAAAATGGTTTGTTCAGACAATTAAAGTTTGAAAAATGGTTTAAAGCATTTCTAAATTTTGGCTAAAGGTGATTTTGGATCATTTCTGATAACACATTGACGCAACACTGTTCATTGGTTGAAAACACGGATGTAGGGACATTTTATGAAATCTTTTATGACATGTTTCTCTTCCAAATAGCTAAATTAGAAACAATTAGGACAATTATGTCTTTGATACAACTGTTGGCCGTTCATCTGAGACATGATTGGTGCAAGTACAACAACACACATAGGACAATGGTCTTTTCTCCACATGAACGTGAAACAAAGGTGAAGTATTAAAGTTTGAAACTAATTTACATTTTTAAGGAATCCGAACTGGCTTTAAAAAAAAAAAAAAAAAGGGAAAAACATTTATTGCACGTGCATGAGTTTTTAAGTAACAAGAGCTCATTAAAAATATAGGGGACACAGTCTGTGACAAGCCTGAGTACAGACCACGTGGTTTAAACACTAAAGTTTGAAATGGATCCTTTTAGGAAAAACCTCTTAAAGCTCTGCATGTTCTGCAGGCTCTGAAAGTTGCAACAATAGAAATAGCTCATGAGACAATTGTAATTGGACATGGAAAAATATAACAAAGTTAAAATTACAGGCCTTCTGTGTTATATGTTTGTGTATGTTATATGTTTGTGTATGTTATATGTTTGTGCGTCATGTCAAGAACACTACGTTGACCTTAACAAACTCTGGACCAAAATACTAACTGGGGAGTCGGCCTGTGTGAGTGATGCGTGTGTGATGCGAGTGTGATGTGAGTGTGGAGTGAACGAGGAGTGCTGAACGGAGAATGGAATAACAAAAGTTTTCTGTAATGTTTTAATGTGATCATGGAATAATTATTTTTTGTCAACAGCATACGGTGTAAGTACTAGAGATTCAAAGATAACAAGCTTTATTGAACAGGTGTAAAAGTGAGAGTACTCTGGGATGAGTACTCTGAGAAAAGTACTCTGAGAAAGTACTCTGAGATGAAATACCTTGCTGAAGGTACTGGGAGTCCCTCCCTCTGCTGTTTGTCCTGACAGTGATTCGGTCCAACCGCAGTGAGCGGTCGTTGGTTGAAGGACAACTTTGGTTTGTAATTCACATTTAGGGGAGTATAAAATTAGAAACATACATATTGTTAAGTCTGTATTTGGCTACAGCCTCTGCCCTGATGTCACACACCGTCTGTCAATGCAGTTATGTTTTGCCCAATTGGATTGATTGACAGGCTGCACAATGCGAAGAGAGGGAAGTGGGCGTTTCTTGTGTTCTAATGTTTGTTTTTCAGATGAAAGATAAACTGCACCTGCTTCAGGGATGACAGTAGTATGGATCATAAGGAAATGAGCCTCTACTTTGGCACCAAAGCCCACAATATGAGTTGAGGACGATCCGGGAGGAACAACTGGAGAATGATGGGAACAGTAATCTACACACACATACAGATGCATGTTTTATACTTTGGCCCATGACCAAGAGAGGGAGTATATAATGTTATTGTCATAGGTGGTCATGGTCCTTAACCTTCTAAATCATTAGAAAGAAGTGTAAAACATATATTTACAAGAACAAATAAATAATAGAAAGGGCAGCCTAAAAAAGCAAAATGGGAAAATTATTAAGTAATTTTCAGAGTTGCCAAAATGAAATAAAATTCTATATTTGTCCCATAGGGGGTCATTCTAAATTTAGTGTTGTGCAAATTCAAAAGGAGAAATTAAGAAGAGGTGTCAGAATAAACAATAGTAATAATAGTTAGACTAGTGAATAATCATCCATCCATCCATTTTCTTCCCCTTAATCCATTTCTGGGTCGGGGGGGTGGCAGTCAGAGCTGCACCCAGTCCACAGAGCACCAGCCCCTCACTGATCCTCCTGCAGGTGGTGAGTCCACCGGAGGGAATGATTAAAATAGTTCTATTGTGGAAATAAGTATCAATAAGGTCAAATTGTTCTAATAACTAAAGTAAAAAGGAATCAAATGGAGTCAGATTTTAGATGTTTCTGTTTTCCACATCTGTAGGAACTAGTGCAGATGTGTTTATAGAGAGTAGTATTAAAATGCAGACATAGAACGACAGGCTTTAACACAATTTTAAATCTAAAAATAGCTCAAATATAACATTGCTCTTGACGCAGCCTCTGAGCTGCTCCATTGGAGAACAGGTTAAATGTTATTGTTTATTACAAACAGCTGATGTATTTACACATATTAAGTTTGGGACAACTCTTTAAACAGTTATAAGCAGCGGACAGAAGCCATGAATGTGCTTTTGTTTATTAAATAATTAAATGCATAGCCTTATAATCGTAGAGAACGTTTTAAAATAGTTAAAATCCCTTTCAGGCAACTTGATTTAGATGTATGTCTTTAATATTGGAGAACGACTGTGTTGTTTTTGGAATTGTCTGAAATACAATACATAGAATAGTGATTTGCAGAACGAGAACCGGCCAATGAAAAATCGTCTATTGCCAATGCAATTGTTACAATCAGAACTCAAAAATTGGGAATATGCTTTGGCTCAAACTACAACCAAGATTTGGAGTCACAATAGAGTGTAAAATAGATAGATGCTTTCAAAAAATAGAGATTATTTTTAGACAGGGTTAATATCAAACGGTAAAAAGACCATTTCCTTCATATTATGTCCAAAAGTAGTTACTTCAAAAGTAGATAAAGTTCATGAGTGTAGCCTAGATTAATGTAGCTTAGATTAATGAGATAGATTAGAACCAACAGAGATTCAAAAACATTTAAAAGCATTTTGGTGAATTTGGGTATAGCACAAAAGTAGATCTTTAGGTAGTTTTGAGAATTTTAAGAGCTGTCGATTTGTCAGCAACAGATTAGAGAATCAAAATACCGTTGTATAGGGACTAACCCCAGAGAAACCTGCTAAAATAGATTAGCTCCTGTACGGATAATACCAATTTGATTAACGATGTACATTTATCCCAAACGGTCTGAGAGAAGGAAGTGACAGCACTTCCTGGTTCAACAAAATGTATTTGGAAAAATGAGCAAAGCCCCACAAAATGGCACAGAGCCACTGATAATGAAAGCAAACCACCAGTATAGATAGATTTATTAGATAAAAACATATGTTTAAGAATAGGGCTCAATAAAAGCAAAATAAGCAAACATATTTGTAAATAGATTAGAATAGTTTAAACTATAGTGAATAGTTTTAGTGCATACATTACAGACGAGGTTGAAGAAGAATCAGAATGACAGCAGTGGTCATCAAAGAGTTTAGTGAAGGAATGTTTCAATGTGGTTGTGTGTTGTTTGTCTTTCTGTATGAACTCTTCACAGATAACGAGCCAGAACCAAGAACCAAGGCGAGGATGGACGAGCTTCCCAGTCCCGGCACCCAGAAGGGATATTGAAAGATTGTGACCTAAATTGGTTTAATATAGGTCAACAGAGGGGAACTGTTGTATATTTTAAATATAGACTAAAGGCAGATGTGAATTTGATTGACCCGGAATTGAACTCTTGTCTCTTTCCCAAGCAAAAAGACCTGTACCCTCAGGGATTAAGTCACAAGGACACAGGATAAGCAGACGGGAATTATAAAAAGATATCGCCTTTGAACAAGGCGAATTATTAACGTTCAATAATAAACATTATCTGCTGACAGAGCAAAAGTCCCTCACCATCAGGCGGAAAGGGAATTTACCAACAGCATTCTAACGCCTCCCAGTGGACAAGGGACGTCAGCACACCCGAAATGAACATTCGGGAGACGCCCACAAGTGACGTCATCAGACGTCTTGATAAAACTGTTGGTTTGAGTTCTGGGGGGAGGTTAGCGCAGGGTAAGAAGAGAGGGACAGCATAGCATAGTTTAGGAGCTCTCTTTTGTTTGAATATTCTGTATCTGATTGTAAAGATAATTAAATGCAGATGTTAAACTTGGAGAATCTTTTTGTCTGATTTCTGTATCAAATTGTGGACACGCCAGCCAAAGGGAATTATTGGCTTCAATGGAAAGGTTAATTTAACTAAATGAGCACAGAAATCCTAAAATGCCTGAGGAGTCATTGTGGTGAACTGGTGAAACGTAGTGATGGCTGAAATTAATTGAGGCTTCGAAGCGTGTCAAGTAATCAGTGACGTGTGACCAGGAGTGTAGTTTGGTGAAGTTCTGAACTGCTGCACCACGTGACTGATTTTGAGACGGTTTCGCTGGTTTGGGAAGACCTGATCACGTAGTATTTGTTTGAAATTGGCAGGAAGCCAGTCCCTGTGCTCCTCAGAGTCCGAGTTGAGTTATATAGCACTTAAATGTTACAGATGTACTTTGGTGCGAGGCCATGGAGAGGCTGGACTAATAGGATCGTATCTTCTGGTTCTAGTTGGGACTCAAGCAGCGTTCTAAATATACTGCAGCTGTTTTACAGTTTGTTTGGAGAGACCAGTGAGCAGGCCATAAGAGTTGTCTATTTTTTTATTTTTAAGATGGTAAAATGCTGCTGATGTTACAGATTTGATGTGGCTATTGAAATTTAAGTCTGAGTCCATTATTAACCCTAGATTCTCTGACCTTATTCAAAGGCCTTAAGGAGAGAGACTGAATTTTACAAATGACGCTCTCTCTTTGTTTCTGGGGACCAAAGACAATTGTTTTAGTTTTGTCTGCTTTTGTCCGTTTTTGTTTGTTTAGCTGAAGGAAGTTGTTTTGCAGTGAAGGAGTGCAGTAATATAGTTGTAACATATAATAAAATGTATTTAGGTTTTTTTAACACATTAAAACCAGCATTGTCCTGTTATTGTAATGTATTTTATTGCATTTGCGTTGATAATTTGTCATGGCCTTGAGCCAAGTTATGACACATTGAAATGAGCAATGAAAACAAATCTTTGTTATATCTTTATATTTGAAACATGCCACATCGCGTGAACATCTATGAAAAATAAAAGGAACTTTATTTTGCTTCCATTTCTTTGTAGTATTTCTCCATCTTGGTAAATTCCTCTTTGACGTCTGTAAAAGCAGATCATTTCAATGGTTGGATTCAGACCCAGGGTACTGTGATCTATTTATTTTTTACCTGGCACAGATGTCACCTCCTTCTTTAAGGACAGAGTCATTGCTTTCTCCAGGTCGTCCTCGATACGTTTTAAGATTTCCTCCTGTTTGCACGTTCACAAAGTCAAAACGGTAACATGTCACAATGATGCACGGCTATGGATTTACAAGGGCACAATGTTGTAAAAAATCCAGAAAAAAAAATGTAATATTGGTACATTTCTTTGCCTAATTCTTTGCACTTTACAAGAGGTTTCATGAAAGGTTTCTGTACGTAGTACAAACCATGAGTTGGCGAAGACGGGTCAACATGTTCTTTTTGGCTTCTTCAAACATGGCATCTTTTGTCTTTCGAAAATGACCCAAAACGGTTTCTTTCATGACCTTCACCTTTGACTTGCGTGCTGCGTCTGAAATACATACAGTAGATTTGACATCATGCATGATATTACCAGCTGCTTTTAATTATCGCTGATAACGTTTAAACTCAAAAATACATGGTGGTAGAATTTGTTCCTCTCTGGCCTGATGCCAGAGACTGGCTGCAGCTGCACTGCCTGACCTCAGTGTAGCGTTTAGAGAGACTTCTACAAATAAACTTGATTTTTGTAAAGTAAGTTACAAGTTACTATTACAACATTGATTAGTGCCGGTTTGTTTCTCACTTTGTCATGTGCACGCACACACACACAGGCGTACAAACGCACACACACAACAATCCCAGAGACCGCAGAGAGACGCGACAAGCGTGAAAAAACTGCTTTGTACCTGCTCTACGACACGAGAGGGACTAGTGTCTAAAACAAAATTTTATGAGTCACCAAAACACAGCAAATGACACATTTGTTTAGATTTTTCTATGTAAGTGTTCCCTTTTTAAATTACCCTCAACTGTTATTAGAATTAGTGGGCCTTTTCTCCTTTTTGAGTAGCAATGTAAAAAGAAGTCTTGCGTCCCACCTTTATATCCGTCCTCCATCATTTCCTCCACAGTCTCTGTCAGACAGTTGTAGATCTGTTTCTTTCTTTTGCGGATCACTTTGCAAAGTTTTGTCTTCAGTTTCTCTTCCTTAAATCAAAATATTATTAAGATGAAAACACAATACACAGCTTTTATGAGATTTAACATTACCTCTTTCTTCAGAAATATCAGCAGTAGTTCAACTTCCTGGTTATCTTTAATCAACTGTTCACAATCAAGTGAAAAATCACGAATTCTGCTATAGAAGGGTCCATGCTTTCCAGAATTTCTAAAAAAACATTATTAACAAAGCCAGTTTAAGCCCGAGCTCACCTCCTCTGGTCATTGGTCAGAAACACATCACAAAACAAGAATCAGTGCTTGGAATCTGCCTGGACCTGGATGAGACCACCACAACCCCTGACTTCTTTTAGTGCAATTAAAAAGTGAGTGGAAGGAATATTGCACATGAGCAGCCCATCTCATATTTTCTACTGGAGAACTGGAAGACAGTTTTGAGGTCTGAGTTGCAGAGATGGAGAGTACTGTGAATGGTCAGCGCTTTGTTGCAATTTACCGGTATGCATTTCTAGGCAATTGTAAACATGGTAACTAACATATGTGGTTTACAATAATAATGAGATCACCATTTTCATTTTGCAGTAATTTTAAAAAGGGCTGTATGGTAAGGAATGGGTTAGAACTTGCCCCTACACTCTAAAGGCGCGTTCAGACCAAAAGCTTCAAAAAGCTTTTGACGCGCTTCAACTGACGCCGGGATAGTTTTGTCATTTTGGTGCTTGAAGCTTTTGACGCGAGTGACGCGCCTGACGCCGGTGGGAGGAGCTTCTCTGTTGTCTGTAGTCAGGACAGCGGTGGATTTTTCAATGAGCAGCGAGCCTTTATTTGTTATATAAAGCAAAATAACGTTGTTGTAGGGCTTCAACAAAACATGTTCTGGGTTCACCACAGACTTGAGAGGCTGCAGTGTTTGCAGAGTTCCGTCATTTACTCCAGGAGCTGCGTACGGAGGAGTTTCGCTTTCAGCGGTACTTCCTTATGTCACTCGCCCGGTTTGAGTTCTCAAACCCCGGAGCTCGGCTCTCCCCGCCTCGCTCTCGCCTCTCCCTGCCTCTCCCCGCCTCTCCCCGGCTCTCGCTCGCCTCTCCCTGCCTCTCCCCGCCTCTCCCCGGCTCTCGCTCGCCTCTCCCTGCCTCTCCCCGGCTCGCTCTCGCCTCTCCCTGCCTCTCCCCGCCTCGCTCTCGCCTCTCCCCGCCTCTCCCCGGCTCTCGCTCGCCTCTCCCTGCCTCTCCCCGCCTCGCTCTCGCCTCTCCCCGGCTCTCGCTCGCCTCTCCCTGCCTCTCCCCGGCTCTCGCCCGCCCGGAGCTGCCTTGCTCTGAACCAGACTTATCGTCAGCCTGTTCTTACATTAAATAAACTACGTTTACTACACAGCATGTGTACAATGATTTTGATTACTCAGAACGTTACTACTCAAACAAATTAATATTACTAATAACAATAAAACAGCAGCAGCAGATACATGACTTATCTCCATGACAGAGACAGACCCTCTGCTGCTGCTGCTCCTCGTCTCCTGATTGGTTGAAGCCCGCGTCAAAGTTTCAAAAGCTCAGCTTTGGCGTCAAAGGGATTGTTTTGATACGCGAGCGTTTCGCGCGTCAAAAGCTTCAAGTGAGCGCGTATTACGCGGGACTTTTGAAGCTTTTGACGCGCATCAAGTGACGCCGGGGCTCTCGGCGTCACCTGACGCGCTTCACCATTCACTTTCAATGCAAACCTGACGCTTTTGACGCCGAAGTTAAGTCCGGGGTGAACGCCCCTTAAGGAGTCTGCAAACTCGCCTGGTTGGAAATAACTGGACCTGTAATGAGCAGTTCAACTTGTAATCATTTATTCTGCCCCTGTTTTAATTAAAAAACGTAGACTGTTTTTAATACAACTACATTGTATTAAAATATTGTCTTGTTTAGAGCTTTTTTTGCTTTATGGGCCTAGAACTTGGTAAATGGTCACAAATTATCAAAAATTTAAACTGTTACTACAAATTGTGGACAAAATTGCATTTATAAATAGACACACAAATATGCATTCATATTTCACGTTTGATGACACGTTCACACAGGCCCGTCACAAGGGGGGTGCGAGGCCCAGTGCGAACTCGAAACGCGAGGCCCTGCCCTGACACTTTTTTTCCCAGATCTGAGGAAATTTTTTCCTGTTATAATCTTTGACATGAATTCAGCACCACCTCGCGCGGTGCGTGAAGAGATCAGCACGCGCGTAGCCGAGTGTCTTCGCTCCTATGCAGCGTTGGGCGCGGGCACGCACACACGCACACACAAACACTATGGCACTTGGCATTGCGACATTGGTCGCGGTCTTTTTAGCTGACATGGCTCTTTCGTCCTGTGGCAAAATGGCAGAGCAACTCAAAAGTCTTTTTCTTCTAATAGTTAGATTTCGGCAAAATGCGCCAAAATGGCTATGAGGCGGAGTCAATATATATATTTATATTGACTCCGTTATTTATATTGACTCCGGATGCATGGCAAATAACGTTTTTGCCATGCATCCACACACTCTGACAACATATGCTCCTTCTCCTCCTCCTCCACACTGACCACAACATACTCTTCACCTCCTCCTCCACACACTCTGACCATAACAAGGCGTTTTATGCCCAAAATCCACTCCACTCGCAGTGGCCGCTAAAGCTAGACATACGGTGTGTTTGCTAATGCTTTTAAAAATATGTTTTTGATGTGGATATTCGGACTAAACATTGGCAATAACAGCGCTCACACACCTGTCACACCGCTGCTCCTCCTCCTCCTCCTCTGCTCACACCAGGGCTGGACTGGCCATCGGGCGTACCGGGCAATGCCCGAAGGGCCGATGCCCATATTTGGGCCGGTCTGTCTGCCTCATACAAAAAACATGTTTGTGAAAAGTGTAAATCCGTTGAGAAATGTTCGAGGGGGCGCGCGTGTCCGCGGGGCTCCTGCTGTATGTACTCGAACGGGATTCCACCGCCTCAGCGGCCGCAGTGTTCCCGCATCCAGCGGCTCTGAGCTGGACGCGGGAACCGCTCACAACACAACACGGTGAGCGCGTAGCCGCAACGTGACCATGTACCCAAGACCATAAACGCGCACAGGATCATGCATGTCTTTGCGTAATTTGTGCACCCAATAAATACACCGCTGCAGAAAACAGTCCGCGTCTCCCCTCTCCTCTAAATTAAAGCTCGGGTACCTAAATTTTCCATTGCATTAAAAGTTCATGTTTGAGCCCAAAAGTAAAATGTTGTGAACAGATTAAACAGATTTAGAGCCAGCCAATGGCTGACAATATGCATTTCAGAAATGTTTACCAATTCTCATCCCTGTAACAAACAATAGTGTTGTCTGTGCCCACCTCCCTCACTCTGAGACATGTTTATTACTCTGTTTAATGTAGACTATTATACTTTATTTTATTGTTGAAACTGCAGACATCCTGATCCTCTACAGTATTTGCTTCCACATACTGTATAAACCAGGGGTCGGCAACCTTTAGTGCCCCTAAAGTGGCTCCTTGGAGCCTTTTCAAAAATGTCTGAAAATGGAGTGTGAGGGCTATATTTTATTTCTAGTTTGAATGTGGTTTCTGCAGGAGGAAAAACATTCTTCACGTTTTAATGCTGCAAAAACTTGTATAAGTAATATTCAATTTTAACTGTGTGTGCGCATGGATCCCAAAGATAAAGAGAGAGAGTCGATGATAAGACTGGACTAAGAATGAGAATGAACTTTTGCTTTCAGTCAATGAGGAAGGACTGCTTCATGTTTGAGATGTAATGAAAAGTTTTGTTGCAACAGAAGGAACAATGAAGCTTTAAACACTGTTCACTGAAAGATTCATTCATCATAAAGTCAGAGCACCTATTTTCAGACTTCAAATACCTTCACAAAGACAGTGAACGAAAAGGCCATTAAGGACATTCAGCTCCAGCAAACTTCAGCCTGTGATGTGATCGATATGAACAGACAGTGATGCAGGTGAACTCGGGGCCAAAAAGCAGATTTATTTACTGTATTTGTACAATTGCATGAAGGTTAAAGTTAAAGCAGAGTTGTCACGTGGTGCGTCATTCTCTCCAGGACATGCTGCAATGAAAATATACATTTGATAATCATGAATGGTTTTTATGTGTTTGTAGCCTTTACTTTGTCATTTAGATATTAGTCTAATATAGCTAATATAGCTAATGTAGCTAATACAGCTTCAGCCCCTGTTACCTTCATATAAGCCTTATACAACGCTGTTTTGTATTTTTTGCGGCTCCAGACAGATGTTGTCTTTAGTTTTTTTTGTCAAATATGGCTCCTTGAACCTTTTGAGTTGCCTGGGCCGCTAAGAAGGAAAAAATGCCCGGGCCGTTTTTTTGTCCCAGTCCAGCCCTGGCTCACACAAAGGAGTCTGCTCCTCTGCTCACACCTGTCTCGCTGCTCCTCCTCCGCGAGTATCCATCTATCCTACACTGCGATCATTCCCGGTTCTTTCTTCGTATCTCACTCAGACACTGCTAAAGTTATCTGACAGCTCCGTAAAGTTTTTTCGGAGGACCCGCTGCATACATAGCTGCCCGCGCGCCTGCCTGTTTACAAATCGCTTTTGGTGAAAATTTGACTTTACTTGTAAAAATTGTCTTTTGATTAAACGAAATCAAAGAAGTCCAGAGAAATTGGTTTAGGGGTCCAAACTTGGAGCGCAGTCTGCCCTTTGGGGACCCTTGAACTATTGTATTTATAAAAATAAAAAAAGGAATGAAGATTGCGAGGCCCCTGTGTGGTGCGAGGCCCTGTGCGACGGCACAGGTCGCACAGCCCTTCCGACGGGCCTGCGTTCACATGTATCCAATGAGTGTGACTGTATGTGTTTGATAAGAGGACAGAACCATACAAAGCTGGAGACTTACGGAAAGGTTTTTCTGAATTTCAAGTCAATGCTGTTGGTCAGAAATGAGGATAATGTTGTCTTGAGGTTGATTTGCTCTCCTTTCTTGGATGTCTGGTTACCATTTTTCTTCATAACACTCTTGAACCTTTGGAAATGACCTCCTATTTCGATCTGAAGAAAAATAACCCGGTTTTAAATGAAACGGTTCTCCATAAAAAAGTTGAATGATTTGCTGCAATAACACACCTCTATCTTATCTGTCATGGTTTTTTCCCCTTGTTCTTTGGCCCTGTTGACTCCCTCTGTGAGAAGCTCTTCAAAGTCACTGTATACACGATCCATCTCCATCCTCATCTGTTTGATCTTACTAACTCTTCTGGTACAAAGCTTTTCATACAGCATACTTTTCTGTTCAGCCTGAAACCAAATAAATTATTTCAGATAGAAAAAAATCCCCTTGAGTTCTGTTGTTTAAGTCTTAAACTCACATTTCCAAAGCGCACACCCTTCATCAGAGCCAGGATGCTGTAGGCTGACGATATATAATTTGACACAAAATCTCTCTGGTCATTCAGACTTTGAAGAAAATCCTGGAGTTTAAATATCTCTGGATTCACAAAATAATCTTGTTAATACTGCATAAACACAATACATTGCTCTTTTCCTGATTTGCATGAAGCCTCATACCATTTACTTCTGGTTCTGTGTCTTTAGTGCTCACAATAAAAACTTGAATGCAGTTCTCTTCAAATTGATTCTGGGAAATAATTAAATATTCATTATTTTAAAATAAGGAGTTATTTAAGCACATAGACATTGTATATTGTGGCGTACTTTTAAGTTCTAATATCCTTTAAAAGTAAAAAATGTCTCTCTTGTTTTTTGTTTGAAATGACATTTATTGCTGTGTTTATTGTGATTGCCATTCACCATTATTGTCTCATTGAGGTCACTGTGCTGTGACTACAACACACTGTTGACTCCCCCCGCCCCCACAAGCCCTTTTTCTAAACACCGTAAAAGTATCAGTTAATCAGTATTTTAGGGGAATTGTAGTGAAGAGCTCATTGGAATGGATGCAACTCAGGTTACAATATTCTTATATTCATAAAACATTTTGGCAAATAAGTGTAAGTAATACATTATTTTTATTATTTTTCCACTTCTTACTTTGAAGTATGTAAAACTCACCTGGATGTGCGGAAGATCTTTGAATTTTTGGATGATTTCATTCTTGACTTCCTCCGGTGAGCTATAAAAGTTAGCAGTGAGGTGATTGTCCAAACATAATAGTTCTACACAAACCAAATGAGATCCTAAATATAAACAGTTTTTAAGAAACAAAACATATTTTTCTTAATGCAATAGTTGGTAATTTTTTTGCCAGAAAATACAATACTTTAATTTATTGAATTAATAATACATTGGTCTGTTGATGGAACTGAAAGGGTCTGAAAACCAACTGCATCCCTACATCACATTTGCCCTGAAGGAGGGCAAGTATGATCAGGGGTTCTAGTTTCACTTAAAAACGTTCCAAATATGGTTTTAGATTTAAATTGGTTCAATTACACACTATGTAAAATAATAAATAAAACCTTACAATTTTGCAGAGTCTGACTTGGTGCAGATGAAGTGAATATTATGACACTCTCCTCCGTTCCCCATGTGTCCGCTGGCACTTTCGAGGATGTTCCAGGCCTCACTCTCTGAGGCAGCACGAGTCACTTCAGTCACCACCCACACTGTTCCACAGCAGCTGACCATCTGCACAGAGGACACAGTCGGGTTGGGTTTGGGCTCAGGAGACAGAGGAGTGGACTCTATCCAATCTTTGCCACTAGTTAAAAGTTTCTAGATTGGGTGTTAAACAAGGTTTTCACAACACACAGTAATGGTCTCAGCATGTTTCTCCAACATTCTCCAGTTGCGTGTGAATGCGTTAGAGAGTCCTGGGACCAGCACAGGTCTCTCTCCTGGTTTCAGTGATGCAAATGCAATGATGCCAGAGTCTGGTAGCCATAGGTCTATTATGATAACATTGGGCCTCATTCACGAACCGTTATTTTGTGAAGTTCAATAAAACTTCCTCTCAGCAAAAAGGTCCTGGGTTCGAATCCCGGTTGGACCAGGGCCTTTCTGAGTGGAGTTTGCATGTTCTCCCTGTGTCTAAGTAGGTTTCCTCCGGGTGCTCCGGTTTCCCCTACCACTAAAAGTATGTACAATAGGTCTGGCATGTGCCTCCTGTACTGGCACCCCCACTCCCAAAAAAACAACAATTGTAAACCGCTTTGAGACTCCGATGTGCAGTGAAAAGGCGATATATAAATAAAGATTACTTACTTACTTACAGTGATGACCATCATATTGATGTATTATTAATTTAAATTTGTTATGGTAATTTAGCCTATTTTTTATATTCATTTTTAAATGAAATGTGCCAACGCTTTGTAAAATACATTGGAAATCGTGCCGTCTATTAGTGACCCCATCCTATTTATAGGGGGCATTTCTCCATCCATGGGCCACAGAACAATGGCATATATACTGCTGCTGCAGGAGGTTGCAGGGTCCACGCTGAGTCTCCGCGCTGGTCTCTCCCATGAATCTATACGGGGCCGCGCTGGTCTCTCCAGTCAATGGTCTCTCCTCGGTCCGCGCTGATCTCTACAGTCTATGGTCCTCGGGTCTGCATTGATCTCAGCGCTGGTCCGTGCTGGATCTCCTCCCAGGGTCCAAAATATTTTGAGATTAATCTCATAATATTATGAGATTAATATTCAAATGCATAATATTTTAAAATTAATCTTATATTTTTAGCTTAATCTCATAATTTTGCTAGTTCAACTTTATTCTCATAATATTTCGACTTAAAAGTCAAAATGTTATGACTTTAATCTCAGTTTGGCAAAAGAAAAAAAAAAGGGTGACTCTTTGGCTCCGTGTAGCTCTTTCCTTTAGGCGTGTTGCTGTTTCCTCTGGCGTCTGCACATGACCCTGCAGTCCTTTTTATGGACTAAAGTGGGCGGTTACCTATGCTAAGTACCTATGCTAATGAGTTGGCTAAGAGAACAGCTGCAAACAATTCAGCGGCTTACGAGCGCATTGATGAATCCCATGTAGGGTCTTCTTAGAAATCTACTTAAAAACGACTTGAGAAGAAATTTAAGAAGATATTGGTGAATGAGGCCCTTTGTTTGCTTGATGTGATTCCAAGAGAATGTTGTTGCTCCACTGCTCTCTCCTGAACCAATCACAGCCCTTTCCATCCCCAAGTGTTAGCTTTTAAGAACAAATCCTCTAGAAGGAAGTACCTCTCTCCACATGTCGTTCCTCGTCTTGTTGCAGTCTCCTGTTCCAGGCAAATCCACCAGTGTCACATGTTGTAGAAGCTTGTTCTTTGGAACTTTGATCGTGACACATTTCACCACCGGCCAAAACATTATCTGTGATGGGTCACTTTTGTTTTTGGTGTATTTTTCAAGACTTGTTGAAAGTTCCGAGGCCTGGGGAAAAAAGTCAACAGTTTTGGATTGGGGTCTCAAACTTTTGTTTCCCCCATAGAGCTCTGCTACAACTCATGATACACATATAGATATATAAAAAAAGATCCACAGTTACCTTCGTTTGTAAACATTGCATTGTACTGTATATAAATTCCTATTATACATTCAAGTAAGTAATCTTTATTTATATATAGGGCTGCAACAACGAATCAATAAAATTGATAAAAATTGATCATTTAAAGTGTTGGCAGCAAATTTCATTATCGATTCGTTGTGTCGCGCGATTAATGCGTCACCCACTACGTTGCGGAGCTCACATGAGTTGGGCTCATTCTTGTACAGCTGTGTTCAGACTTTTTTAATATGGTGGCTTCTGATTAATTCTAATTCACTGTGGCATTAGCAGTGCACACACTTGTCTGCTCCTTCTTTTGACAAGCGAGCTCTCAATAACAGCGCAAACCAAGGCCAACTCTAATCCTCCCTTCCTGTCGTCGGGCAACGCCCTTTTAAGAGAGGATTTTCAAATGTTCATGTGGGCGGAGTCAGGCTGGGCACTAGTGTTTAGTTTTCCTTAAAACTCCTAATTGAGAAATTATTTCACTTTTTAAACAGTTTTATCCTTATTACTCTTATAACATAACAGAAAGTTGTATCACTCACAGAGTCATTGTTGAGAGTTATCGTTTTGTCAATTAACTCTGAAATTGTTTTCTTGGATTTTTTAAATTCTTTTCCTTGAATGTTCCTTTCATTTCCAAAAAGAGCAGTCATCTTTTCATTTATATCTTTGCTCTCGTCATCTTTGGCTTGGGTTTCTGCCAGTTCGTTACAGGAGAACATCAAGTCATCAAACTCCTGTGGCACAAATAGTGGATTTTTGTTATTTGTAAAAAATAAAAATATAAATAACACAATATTCAAACTTGCCTCTTGAGAGATGAACTCCACCTCTGCCTCATACTGATCTTTTGTATTGGCCTCCACTTTTATAATAACTGAAGTGCATGCCTGGCCAACGCTAGTAGGAAGCAGCCTATCTTCGTTAATGACCGTGTTGATGAGGGAACTTTTTCCAGCCCCGCTACGACCAAAGAGTCCAATCTGCTCTTTCTTCTCTGTGTTCAAATCCTCCATCTCCTCCCTATGAACAAAAGTATACTTAGAGACTGGAATGTTGCCCTCCCTGGTACAGTGTCGCTCTCAGCAAGAGGGCCCTGGGTCCTTTCTGAATGAGAATAAAGATGTCATTCAGAACAGCGCTGGGAAAAATCTTAAAAACTAACGGAGAAAGGACCTTAGGGTTAGCTTGGGTTAGGGTTAACCCAAGCTTGTTGCTAGGTACCTCTGCCACAGCTGTGATCGCTGTTTCTGCACACACCCAGGCCAAAGATAAACATCACCAGTGCACATACACACAAATATGATTGAGGTATCTTATACTTCAAAACAAAGTGAATAGTAAATCTGACGGTGCTCATGCGACACAGTAGCTACAATGCTCTTATCATTAAACAACACATTTTAAAATTACACTATATTGTTGACCAACGCTGCTATTGCGATGTATAAAGCTCCATGTATACGTGTGTGTTAAACTTCAGCCTAAAACCTTTCATAAGATAAAAAATCTATGGATTTGGAAAGTAATGAAAATGAGATACCTTCTAATCAAGAAATACAGATTTGTTTAAATAATAGAAAAATCATTAATGTCTTGTCTGACAACAATTAACAAACCCTAAGAAGTTGAGGAACACATTCTTGTCTCCAGCTTTTTCTTTCGAAGTTGAAATCTTATCTTTGACTTTGGCCATCAGGTCGATCGCTGCCTCCAGCTTTGTCTCTGTCAATGAGTTATAATCTGATACAGAGAAATTAAATGATTAGACTAACCATGTACTTTTTGATTTTTTTCATTTCAAATACCAAGTTTATGTCCTTTTTGTCTTTTGTTTTGCTTCGTTGTTGGATTTTGTTTTCTCTTTCCTGCAGCTGGAGTTTGAGGTCCTGGGGTCCTGCTGGTGGAGGGCTGTGGAAACAGTGCAGCCAGTGACCAAAGGTATCACCTTTAGTGCTCATTTAGTTCTGTTATTACCTGCGCTCTGTCTCCATCTTCACGTTCCCTCTATCAATAAAACATATAGTATAGTATAAATATATAAGGCAAGTTTATTTGTATAGCACAATTCATACACCAGGCAACTCAAAGTGCTGAACAAAACAAGATTAAAATCAAAAATAATCACAGATCATTAAAAAGAAAGATAAAAATATAAATCCCTCAGTTGTATGCACAGCTAAACAGAACTGTCTTTAACCTGGTTTTAAACATGGTCAGAGAAGAGGCCTGTCTCACATCTTCAGGAAGATTGTTCCAGATTTTAGCAACATGAATCTGAAAAGCAGCCTCCCCATGTTTAGTTCTGACTCTGGGCACTAACAGGAGTCCAGTCCCTGTGCTCCTCAGAGTCCGGGCTGGTTCCGGGCTGGTTCCGGGCTAACATGTGACTAATATATTTTGGTGCGAGGCCATGGAGAGACTTATACACAAGCAGAGCTGTTTTAAAGTCTATTCTCTGAGCCACAGGAAGCCAGTGCAGAGACCTGAGGACTGGACTAATGTAGTCGTACTTCCTGGTTCTAGTCAGGACTCGGGCTGCTGCATTTTGAATGTACTGCAGCTGTTTTACAGCCTGTTTGGACAGACCTGTGAGCAGGCCATTGCAGTAGTCTAACCTACTGGAGACAAATGCATGGATAAGAATCTCCAAGTCTGCTTTAGACACTATGTTTTTGATCCTGGCAATGTTTTTTAGATGGTAAAAAGCTGCTGATGTTACTGGTTTGATGTGGCTGTTAAAAGTCTGAATCCAGTATTACCCCTAGATTCCTGACCTTGTTTGAAAGTTTTATATATAGTTTTATATATATTTTATATAAATAGTTTTAGTTTCCTGTCTTTTGAAACAAAAGATATTTTCATAGTGTACCGGCTTTAAAATACCTAATTTTAAAGCTAATTTTTGGGTTGTATGTGGTATAGTATACAGCAATACATGTTCCAGTGAGATTAACAAAAAACGTTGAGTTGTAAAAAATAGTTCTAATTATGGAAAAACTCTTTTAAACTGTTGATACGTGCTTGACGTTTGAGATATATGCAGGTATGGAGCTAGAAACAACTCGAGGTCTGGGAGTATAGTCGATTGTCTTATAATCCTGTATTTTTGTTGTTGTTGTATCTTTATGATTTTTAAGACATAATTTCAGACTCGGATTGCAAAAAAGATACTACTTTATTGCGATCTAGCAATAAAGTAGATCGCAATAAAGTAAGAGTAGGCTCTGCACACAGCTTCCCCACAAAAAAACACTGGTGTGTGCAATTCCTGGGTGGGAGTTGTTTTTCTTCCTTTTCACCCCCCTGAATTTTGACAGGTATTTCGCACACTGGTTAGTACTGTGATGGGAGACCTCTGGGAACACCAGGTGCCACAGCGGGGCGGCTGTAGAGTTCAAAACTGTTGTTGTGTCTTTAGGCAAGACACTTCACCCGCATTACCAAGAAGGAGTCTAGGGGCCGAAGGCACATACGGGTTGCCTCGCTTCTGTCAGTGTACCCCAGGGCAGATGTGGCTACAAGAGTAGTTTACCACCGTGTGTGGAGTGAATGAATAATGACTTTTGAAGCGTCTTTGTGTGTCCAAAAAAGCATTATATAAAACCAATGCATTATTGTTATTATTATCTTAGGTCCGTGTACTTTTGCGTTCAATACATTTTCTATTTGTGAAGGGAAATGGAAAACTTTGCTGTGGGCACACAGTAATATACAAAAATGGCCATTTTATTTTTATTTTTATTGCTTATAAGACATATATATTATACTAACTGGATTTGGGAACTAGAAAAATTCAAGAATGAACCTTTTCTATTATGTATTTAATACATTTCGCCGTCAATTACCCGTAAGTGAAACAATTTGTTTACTCGCACGGCATTAGTATTACCTGTGTGATTATCAAGGAGGACGTCTGAGATCTTATCGTGTGGGAATGCGCCATGTCTGTAACTTGTAAAGTAATAATTCAGTTGCAAATGACCTCCTGTATTTGTCCAAACACAGACGTCCTCTGATAATAATAATCCCGTGCGAATCTGCATGCCAGTGATTGTGATCGCTATTGCCGCTTTCGCTTTACTTTCTGCGTTGTTTTTTTGTCAATGAGCAGGAGTCACGTGTCACGGCTGTGAACACAGCTGCAGAGTCGCGGCTGCTGCTGTCTCTGTGAGGTCTGTGGAGAAGTGTAGAGGACAGTGTAATGTGTTCACTGACACTAAATGATCAGACTGATGGATTGTGTTTATACGTTTACTTTACACTCTGTGGTAATACAGTACAGACGTGTTGATTCAGCCACTACTGCTTGTCGGCTCGAACATAGTTAGCTGAGTATGTGGTGTGTTCACAAATAGTCCGTACAAACAGTATTATTAAACAATACAGACAGTACAGGCCATAGAACTGTAGAGCAGTAAAATGTGTGTCCTTGTGAATGGTCATTTTTGTATATTGCTATGTGCCTGAAAGTGCAAAATAGCCTTTTTAAAATTTTCCATTTTCCTTCAAAAATAGAAAATGTATTGAACGCAAAAGTACAAGGACCATCTTATTACTTGCTCTTCTAGTTCTCCATCAAGGCATCTACGCTCATAATTTCAAAATTGTAAAAATACACCTTAAAGGGAAAATCTCATGCTACTGCTATTGCCACTAATAAAATATATTTTTATTGTATTATAAGTGATTGAATTTCAAAATTTACCTGAAGCTTATTCCAATGGTTTCTGAGTTTGGCTTTGTGGCCGACGACTGGGATCAGCGCAGAGAAATCCGTCTCTTCCAGCAAAAAAAAACTCTCTTTGTCAATTTTGTTTGCTAAAGAAATACAATAGGTTTAGTTCATTAAAGGTTTGTGCAGAACAATAAATACATAAAATATGCAAACAATTACCTGCAAATGTATCACAGTACTCCTCCAGACCAATTTTAATTAATTGTTCGTGTACAAATGGATCGAGGTCTTTAGCTGTGGCCTGATAAAAGATAACATCACACACATTTAACTAAACACCGCTTTTCACATCTGGGCTGTCGGAGCAAACCAGTCTCACACACAACAGCCCTCATGCCTCATTGGTGCAGGACTTTTATTCAATTAATGCGTCTATACTCTATGTTATTCGTGCCGCCCACTCTATGCCTGGGTTCAAATCCCGGTCGGACCAGGGCCTTTCTGAGTGGAGTTTGCATGTTCTCCCCGTGTCTGCGTAGGTTTCCTCCGGGTACTCTGGTTTCCCCTACCACTAAAAATATGTACAATGCGCCTCCTGTTTGGCGACCCCACTCCCATCTCTGTGTGGAGTGAGAGGACAAGTGCCCAAAAATAACAATTGTAAACCGCTTTGTGACTTTGTTCTGTGAAAGGCGGTATATAAATAAAGATTACTTACTTACTATAACATATATGATGGGTTAGATAAATAGCCTGGGGCCCTAATTTTCTTATATTGTATTTTAAACATGTTGTGGACAATATTTATTGATCTATGGAAAGAGTTGTAATTTGTGTGGTTTTAATAAAGTAAAGTAAAGTAAATCACAAAACAGCCACAACTTCTGTAACATATGGTACCATGTAAAGATGAGGATGGTATGGATGAATCACAAGGGACGCATGGTGTCAGATATATTGTTTACTTAACATCTCTGGCTCATCACAACATACAATATGTAGAGTGCCCCTACACGCCCACTCCTCAGACACTACATACATCTTCTTGAAGCGAAACGAGTGGCGCGCTGGACCGACACGGCAGATTTTTAACATTAGCCTGATGCATAAACCAGTTTCGTTTCTCTAAAAACCAAAACTGACACTAGGCGGCGCCAGCCTGGGTACTATAACATGCCATGCCCACACTTTTACTATCAATGTTTAAAGTGAATAATACTTGGAAGATCATTTCAAGTACCCCCTCTAATCACCTGGTGTGCCCCTTGGGGTCCACGCACCCCCAGTTGGGAAATACTGTTAAGATGATTTAAATAATCCATCAAAATAGAACAATGCCATACTTATTGTATACCTTTGTCTTATGATACATAATAATAATACAGGCCACAATAATACAAAGCTCACCTACCGTCATATTGTCAAAGTTCTACACAATTGCTGTAACTGCCGTGAGTTGTTTGGCTCCAACAAAGAAAAAGGAAGAAAAAGGGACCGCCTTGTGCAGAGGGGCGGAGATACTGTGGAGGTCGGACCAGGGCATGATTCATGACTGAGCGGGACTCTGCCGTACAACATGATGTTTAATTTCCCCATGTCAGTGTTGGGTAAGTGATTAGTTACATGTCACTGATTACTTTTAAAACATCTAATAATAACACTACTTAGATAATACTTAAGGAGAACGTTTGTCGTAATAAATGTATATGTAGTAAAGAGTCAATAGCAGTAGTCAACACCCAACACATATATTACGATTCCTCTGTCAACCTCTTGATCCCTGAACTTTAGATGAACTCTTAACGTATTCATCTGGTACTTACGGATAATCCATGTTAGAGCGGTGTAAAATAGTTTAGTGTTTTCTTTTAATCTGATTAATTCATCATTGGATTAATTCATCTAAGTAATAGATTATACTATGTAGGACTATAAGAGTTTGTGGCAACATAATTAGTTAAAGTTAAATTCTGTAAACAAGTCAGACCACAACGTAAGTAGTAGTAGTAGTAGTAAGTAATCTTTATTTATATACCGCCTTTTCACTGCAGATCTGAGTCTCAAAGCGGTTTACAATTGTTTATTTTGGGCATTTGTCTCTCACTCCACACAGAGATGGGAGTGGGGTTGCCAGTACAGGAGGCGCATGCCAGAACTATTGGACATGTTTTTAGTGGTAGGGGAAACCAGAGCACCCGGAGGAAACCTACGCAGACATGGGGAGAACATGCAAACTCCACTCAGAAAGGCCCTGGTCCGACCGGGATTCGAACCCAGGACCTTCTTGCTGAGAGGCCAGAGTGCTATCCACTCTGCCACCGTGCCGCCCTCTTGATCTTATCGAACAAACAGGTCATCATACAGAAAGAGCCTTGTAAGTCACCATTTGACGCTTAGGGCAGATAGCTGATGGCTGTGTGAGGGTGGTCCTCTCTTTTCACTTTTCTATCTGAATAAAGCGGATCTAGTGACCAAAAATGCAGGAATGGGAAAACTATAGTCATAGAATCATACAAGAAAAACTGGTGTGTTTACAACAGCAGCCATTTATTGATACACACTGTTCCATTCACAAATAAAAGACAAAAACTAGTGGTAACAGCAAAACAAAAAGATTTTTAGAAAAGTCAGTCAGGGTTTTCACACCGCAGACCCGTATTTTTGAACCCGTGTTGACAGTATGAGGCGTGTTTTTAGACCCACGTCACAAGGCATCACATATTTTCATAAGGACATGGATAGTGGATAGAGCAGCGCAAGGCCGTGGGTACAGAGGGTCTTTTAAGGTTTATATTTTTCAAAGTTGCCAAAATAATTCAAAGAAAAAGTTTTTATTATGAAAATATTTATTAATAATTGAACAATGTTAGATTGTCTTAAAGATGGGAGTATTTTCCCAAATTTTAGGAAAGCCCTCTCCACATCAGATGGGACAGAAATCATAATATTTGATGTGGGTTTACAACAGGATTATTCAATTTATTTTCCACAATGGTCCGTGTACTTTTGCGTTCAATACATTTTCTATTTTTGAAGGGAAGTGGAAAATAAAAAAATAAAAGGCTATTTTGCATTTTCAGGCACACAGCAATATCCAAAAATGACCTTTTTTTTTTTTTTTTTCATTGCTTATAAGACATATATATTATAATAACCGGATTTGGGAACTAGAAAATGCAATAATTAACCTTTTTTTATGATGTATTTAATACATTTGGGCGTCAATCGATTACCCGGAAGTGAAACAAGTTTGTTCGGGATTAGAACTACCTGTGAACCCCTGATAATTTGTGATAATCACGGAGAACGTCAGAGATTTTGCAGTGCATTTACACGGGATAAGCAATATCTGTAAAATACTATTTTTACTGACATCTCACATAACGGCCGCACGTGCCCGGGTCTCCCCACTTCACGCAGGCCAGAGAGTCGCGTCTGACCACAGTTAATATATATAGTCTATGGACCACAGCAGCCACAGGGACCATGACAAACATTTTACTGTTCTACAGTTCTCTGGCCCATACTGTCTGTAATGTTTAATATAGTTTGTATGGACTACTCGTGAACCACATACTCTGCTAAAAATAAGATAAGTGCGAGCCGACAAATAGTAACGGCTGCAGCAACATGATCATGGAGCTTTCGCGAAAGTTCACCGTGGTAGACCCGGCTGTTGCTGCCAGGCCACAGGCTGCTCTTCCTCGACTCATCAATACCAGCAACGCCCACACCCAGTCAACCAATAACCACCAGGACAGCAAGTTAAAAGCCGGAGACGCCCACTTCCCGATCTTCTGAAGTCTGCAAACTTCTGAAGCCTGCAAGGTGCATGTCGCTAACGCACCTGTTCGCAAATGCATGCGTTGTTCTGGAGGGGTCGCTTCTGCTCACGTGTTGCTCGTGCGCGTGGCCCGGCTGTCCTCAGTCTGGCTGCTCGTGGTCTGCTCCTCCTCCACGTCCCTGCACCTGCTGTGGTTCGCATATCCCCACTGCTCTCCTCCTCTGCGGGCCCCTCCGCGGTTCTGTGCTGCTCGTTCCTCGTGGTCTGCTGCCGCGCGCAGACGGTCTGGCGGTGCCGTGCGTGTCCCTGCCTCCGATTGGCGGTGCCGCGTTGTCCCGTTGCTTCCCAAGTCTCCTGGCATGTGAGTACAGTGAGCGTGCCGACCGCGGACAGTTTAATCCCGGAGTCTAGGCTGCAGGCGGCCGGTTTTTGCCCTACGCACTTGACTGCAGGCGTCAGTCTTCGCCCCGTGCTTGGTCTGCAGGCTCCGTTTTACACGTGTTTGAGCTAACTGAGGGACAATGCATCTTAAATGGCATCAATCTCCAATGTCTGAGGGATATAAGAGGAGCAATGTGCATTAATTCAGATTCATGTTCTGCCACTTGCAGTAAAACCACGTTGGAAAAAAATGTGCAAAGACTACCCCATCGTGCTCCAGACGGCACACACAGAGCTCTTGCACGGCGCCATCTTTACAGCATCAATCTCATTACTCGCAAGTCACTATTGTTAAATGAATGTATTTAAATTCGTCTATCTGCAGGAGGAAAGAGGGGCCATGCATTTAAATAGCTAGGTCACTAGTATTAAATTGGTAACTAAACTGCAGCTGTTGCATTTCGAAAGTGCAGCAGAAAGAAAAAGGGCCCAATGTGAATCTGCAATGGGTTTGAAGTGGAGCTGGAGCTAATGAACGCATGGATCAGTGATCGTTCATGCGTTCTACCATAACCAAAGCAGCAAGATGGCTCCAGGGGACATCTGGTTCTCGCATGGGAATGTTTCGGATTCGGGTTGATTTATTTCCTCAGGCTCTTAAACAACCGTGGGCATGGTTCTCTGACCGCCGCTGCTGCGGTCCCTGCTGCGGTCCCTGCTGCCGTTCCTACTGATGCCTGATCCCGCTGCTGCCTATTCCTGCTGCTGCCTGTCCCGGCTGCCTGCTCCTGCTGCTCCTACTACTACATGTGCCGCTGCTGCTGTTCCTGCCGCTGCCGCTCCGCAGGCTCCTAGGCTGCACCTGTCTCTACGGCTCGGCTCTTCAGACACGTACGTAACCTGGCTCACGGAGACAAGCGGCGCACACTGGCGTGACACGTCTGTTGTTCGTATGAATCGCATTCTGCTGCTGCTGCTTGCTGCTTCTGCTGCCGCTGCTGCTTCATACTGCTACCGCTTCCGTGCTGCTGCTGCTTCTTTACTTTGACACCTCTCTTCACTGCGCATCTCTTTTACTGAAACACTAAACAGCTTCAACTATATTCCACTGCGGTGGCTTGATACAGGATTATTGCTGTTATTATCTACGGATGCTGCAGCTGCTGCTGCTGCTGCTTCATGCTGCTACCGTTACTGCTGCTACTGCTGCCGCTGCTGCTTCATACTGCATCTGCTGCCGTGCTGCTGCTGCTTCATGTACTTTGACATCTCTCTTCACTTCGCATCTCTTTTACTGAAACACTAAACAGCTACAACAATATTCTACTGCTCTGGCTTGATACAGGATTATTGCTGTTATTATCTACGGATGCTGCAACCGCTGCTGCTTCATACTGCTACTGCTGCTGCTGCTTCATACTGCTACTGCTACTGCTGCTGCTTCATACGGCTACTACTGCTGCTGCTGCTTCATTTACTTTGCCATCTCTCTTCACTTCGCATCTCTTTTACTGAAACCCTGAACAGCTACAACAACATTCTACTGCTGTGGCTTTGATACAGAACTATTACTGTTATTTTCTAAGGACGCTGCTGCTGCTGCTGCTACTGCTGCTGCCGCGGCTTGATACAGGACTTTTGCTGTTATTATCTGAGGCTACTGCTGCTGCCGCTGCTGCTACTGCTACTGCAACCCATTCTCTCAGAAGCTTATCCTGCTTCTAATGGATGCAGCCCGGCTGAGTATGCCGCGCTGCGCCGGACTCGCACCTATGCTCCCAGGGTCGCTTCGGCGGTCGTGCTTCATCTCTCTACTGAATCTTCTGATTCTATCAGATGCAGCTGGCCAAGTAGCTGCGCTGAGCCGTCAATCGGACTCCTAATCAAAGGCATCCATACCTGGTTCTTCACTCTTCTGATCACAGGCTCCCCATCATGCTGCCCATCCTGCAGCGGCTCTGAGCGGCACTGAACTCCGGCTCATCTTCCAGTACATGTCTGCCCTCCTCGCAGCATCTTCTGCTCGCCTTCTGTGGCTTCTCTGCATAAGCGTTTCACCACTGCTCACTCAACCTTCTATGCGGTCCGAGACACGGCTTTTCCCGTCCTATTCTACTGGCCTAATTATCTACTCTCCAACCCAAGATTCTAAGCGTAAGGGCGCCTGCAACATCAATGGCCCTCTCCGGTGTGTCTCTCTGCCCCTACAGGTCTCCGCTTCTACACGGACGCTGCCCCTTCCGTGGGTTTTTGGGGGATTCTTCCAGGACCAGTGGTTCGCCGGCCGTGGCCCGCTACTTTCCCCGGAGCATTTCCTCTGCCCTACACGAGACATTCCCAGTGGTCGTGGCCTGCGCGCTGCGGAATCACACGTGGCAGAGAAAGAGGATCTCTGTCATGCGTGATCATCTCGACGTAGTGGAAGCATTAAACAAAGGTCGCTCTTCTCACCCAACATAATGTCCCCTGACCATTCAACCTTCATCTCAAACATTCGAAGATCAGAGGCGCCTGCAACTCAATAATAGCTCGCTTCGACACATCTCTCTGCCCCTACAGGTCCATGATGCGTTACACTCGCCTCCGCGGCAAAAAGGAGATTTTAACGGACCTCTAATTCTCACTCCAGTCAACCTTCCCATAACAACAACCTGGTTCAGAGCTCAGCTAAGATCCCTACTGCTCCTCTGCAATTTGTCTCCCCAGCTCTATACAGCCCACTCCTTCAGGATAGGCGCTGCCACGCGCGCGACCTCGCTGGGGCTCCCCCACTCTTCCTCTGCAACAGCTGGGGCGCTGGTCCTCTTCGGCTTCTCCACCTACATCAGGCCAGATGCGACCGCTATCATGGCAGCACAACGTCTACCGGCTTCCTCGTAAGCTCCCAGCAAAGCAAGTAAGCAATAAGATTCTGGTGGCGGCACGCACTTTCCTCAAACGCTCAAAGATTCCTTGCTTCAGCGTCTGGCTGAATATGAGCGTGCGCTCATATTCTCAGCTCGCTCAAAGATTCCCCTGCTGCGGCTGGCTGAACATGCGCGTGCGCGCATGTTCTCAGTTCGCTCAAAGATTCCTCTGCTGCGGCGTGCGCGCATGTTCTCAGTTCGCTCAAAGATTCCTCTGCTGCGGCTGGCTGAACATGCGCGTGCGCGCATGTTCTCAGTTGCTCAAAGATTCCTCTGCTACAGCGGCTGGCTGAACATGCGCGTGCAGGCCCGCTTTTTGGGGATCATGCACGCGAGCAAGCGCCGTGCTCAACAGCATCCCGCCCGGGCCTAGGGCGCCAAACATGCTCAATCAATAAACATGCTTAAATCAATAAGTCTAATGCGTTTTCCTCATGGGTCTCTCCAAGGTGAAATGGAGATTTCGCGAAAGTTCACCGTGGTAGACCCGGCTGTTGCTGCCAGGCCACAGGCTGCTCTTCCTCGACTCATCAATACCAGCAACGCCCACACCCAGTCAACCAATAACCACCAGGACAGCAAGTTAAAAGCCGGAGACGCCCACTTCCCGATCTTCTGAAGTCTGCAAGCCGCCGCCGCCCCACCTCCTCCTTCTCGCATGAAGCGTGCTTGCCTACTGCCTCTGCCGTCACCAGTGCCTAGGCCCCGGGGGGGATCATGCACGCGAGCAAGCGCCGTGCTCAACAGCATCCCGCCCGGGCCTAGGGCGCCAAACATGCTCAATCAATAAACATGCTTAAATCAATAAGTCTAATGCGTTTTCCTCATGGGTCTCTCCAAGGTGAAATAATACGTGTACTGTATGATCAGTCTGATCATTTAGTGTCAGTGAACACATTACACATTACCTCTACTCTTCTCCATAGACCTCACAGAGACAGCAGCAGCCGCGACTCTGCAGCTGTGTACACAGCCGCGATACGTGACTCCTCTGCTCATTGACAAAAAACAACGCAGAAAGTAAAGCGAAAGCGGCAATCACGATCACAATCACTGACATGTACATTCTCACGGGATTAGTATTATCACAGAATGTCTGTGTTTGGACAAATACAGGAGGTCATTTGCGTATTGGAGCGAATAGGGCTGAAGTAAATAAACTTGTTTCACTTCCGAGTAATCAATTGACGCCGAAATGTATTAAATACATATTAAAAAAAGGTTAATTATTGCATTGTCAAGTCCCCAAATCCAGTTATCATAATATATACATGTCTTATAAGCGATGAAAAAACCAAAATGGTCATTTTTGTATATTGTTGTGTGCCTGAAAATGCGAAATAGCCTTTTTTCGATTTTCCATTTCCCTTCAAAATTAGAAAATGTATTGAACGCAAAAGTACACGGACCCATAATGGACACAATTTTACATCACGTTTCAATTAGATTGTGATAAGCCTTATGATTCAGAAATATTGTCAATACATCAAAAGTCAAATAAAAAAGAGTTTCTAAATATGAAAATGCACCAATTGTAGTATACATTCTATCTCATGTTCATTCCATCTGGTGTTCATCTGGGGGCTCAGTTGGTAGAGCATTGGCCTTTGAGCCTGAAGACCACACCACAAGACTTTCTCCACCGACTCCCACTGATGTCCTTAGGCAAGACACGTCACCCACATTGCCTAGAATGAGTCTGGTGTGTGTATGAATGGAGTGAAAGAATAATGACATGTGAAGCGTCTTTGAGTGTCCAAAAAAGCGTGTCCATAAAACTGTCCATCCATTTTCTTCCCCTTAATCCATTTCTGGGTCGGGGGGGTGGCAGTCAGAGCTGCACACCAGCACACAGCGCACGTGTTCATTCTATCTCGTGTATATTCTATCTCGCGTACATTCTAGTACCCATGAGATCCCGGTAACAGCAGAAGCCAGTTCTATTAGAGGTGATGTTCATGGAGGTATGGAGCACCGTCCACATCCAGTTTAAAGAGAAATGCTTGTATTTTTCTTGTAGGGATTTTGAGAAAAAATATTTCTAAAGTAATGAAAGCTTGTTCTAAAACCTTGAATGACAAATAGTCTCATAATTTTTAATAGACAAAGATAATGCGTAATATTTCTTTTTTTTTACTTTAAAGGACAACTCACCCTCAAATCCACTTTATTTTGCTGATAAACTGTACACATGAGTGTCCAATAGTGTTGTGTACATATCCTTGTCATAATTTTGTCACTTTGGTGCAAATTAGTTGAAATGCCTAAAACCGCCTGTGAGGCGGCATCTGCAGGCAACCTGTATTACTAAATTTGAATTTTGAATCTGGCGCCAACATTGGCCGCAGCAGTGGCCGCTTCCGTCTGCAGTGGCTTGTTACGTCAGCAGCCCCACCGCTCTAATATATAAACGGCCCAGTCTCGTTCACCCCCCCGCCTGTCCAGGCTACGCACATTTGGAGGGAGATTTGAACAGGAAATGTGAGTGACGTAGGCCTCGAGGAGCGGGGGTGAGAACCCCTTTAACAACTGTAAACTGTATAAACACATTTAAAATAATTTAACGTTTTTTAGCCACATTGGGTAGTAGCTTGTTAGCTACATTGCGTCTTCAAACTTTTAATATTCTGGATTTTTAAAGCTCCTATGGGGAAATTGAATGTCAATTTTACAAACTGCCTCTTTGCTGCTCCATTAAGCGGTTGTAAGTAAGAAAAAGTTTCTGCAACTTCAAATATAAACCAAACTTTGTATGTCTTTAATTCATACAAAGAATTGACATTTCATAGCTTGATAGCTTTGGACAAGTATTGAATATAATATGTTAGAGCTAGCCATGTATCTTGGCTAGTATTCTTCTGAAACAGTACAAAATTCTCTCATGCCACATTATTTCATCATCTTTGCTTCTGTTTCAATATATTCCTCCACCTCTGTGAATTCCCCTTGGACATCTGTAAAAAGAGATAATGGATCATTTTAAGTTTTATTCAGAACTAAAGTCATATGATCTTTTTCTTTCACCTGGTACAGTCATCTCCTCGTTTATCAGTGACAGGTGCATTGCCCTCTGCAGGTCATCATGGATAGTCTTTGTGATGTAACACTGTTTTCAAACAAAATGAAAACAGTAACTTTTCACCAATCCATCCATCCGTTTATTTATCCGTTGCCGGGTCGCGGGGGCAGCAGTCTAAGCAGAGACGTCCAGACTTCCCTATCCACACACACTTCCTCCAGCTTGTCCGGGGGGACCCCAAGGCGTTCCCAGGCCAGCTGAGAGACATAGTCCCTCCAGCGTGTCCTGGGTCTTCCTTCCCCCTTCTCCTTCCCCCTATGTTTATAAATATTTCTAGAAATAGCTTTAATTTTAATTTAAAATTCTGCATTTGACCCATCTTACAGTGCCACTACAGCCTCTGTCAGGAGCGGTAGTTGACACAGTGAGGCATCCGGAGATTGATGCTGAGCTTGGTCAGGACCAGAGCTGGAGGATTTGACCTATTGTGCATGTTTATAGTGGTAGGGGAAACCAGAGTACCCAGTGAAAATTCCACTCAGAAAAGCCCTGATCCAACCAGGACTCAAACCCAGGACCTTCTTACTGAGATGCGAGAGTGCTAACCAGTCTACTGCCAAAATCCGACCATAATAATAAACTCCAGAAGTTAGGGCCAGTAGAAAATTTTGTTTATTTGACTGTATTTTCCCGAAGCTTTGTGTGGTTCAATACATACCATAAGGTCATTCATCTCCAGCAACATTTTCTCTTTGGCTACTTCAGAGATATCGTCTTTTTTCTCCAAAAAGAATCTCAAAAAGGTTCCCTGCATGCGCCTCACCGTACCCTCGCCAACTGCCTCTGAAATATATATTATATTCACATTATACTTTTGAAACTGAACAGTACTACAAAGAGCACACAAACCTCAGCTACATAAAGCACCATCTCAAAACCGAGAATCATGATAGAGAAATTAATTGTAATATTTTTCTACAATTTCTTTGACTGCCTGAACAAGAGAGCTGTTTCTCTGCAGTTTGTCTGCTTCTCCTCACAAACCTTCTAAAAGGTTTTATTGGATTTGTTATTTTTTTTCATGTCACGCTATACAACACACCCAACACTATACAACACAGACTAACATTGTTTGTACTAATCCGTTTTAGTTTTATAAATCCCATGAATTTAAGAATATAAGCTCATTCGACAGTCATACTGTATATTAGTCTCAAGGTCCTGAACTCTACAACTCTCAGATTGAGAAGCAATAATGCAACTCAAGTAGAGCTTAGTTTCTGTCAAGTACTGCATTCAGACACAGTGACCTTTGTTTACAATTAGAACATCCTAAACGGTTGACCCAAGGACTATACAGGGCTACTTTGGCTGGGCCCTGTCGATTACGGTTGGTGAAAATAAATACAATGAATTATTTGGTCAAATTAGTTTCTTCAAAATGTTGAATGCAGCCGGTTGCCATGACAAATATGAAATGTGCATGCGCAGATGTTTTCAAGATGGCGCCTCGTACGGTCGACATGGCTCTTTGCTGCTCTCTTTTTCTTTTGTTTTTACTTTTTAACTGTGCATCTGGCTGTTCCTACACCCGTGAGGAACTTATGAACATCCGACCCACCGTTCCCATGGACCTATTGCCTGTTTTCTTGGCATCTGCGGCTGATTTAGTTCATGTTCTAGCCAAAAAAGTGTGGGCCCGTAAAAGGGGAAAGCGAGGAGGCCTGCTCGTGCGTCTTAGGAGGAGAGGAGCGCGCACGGCTCTCCCCGGCATTTTTCTCTCCAACGTACGCTCACTGGGCAATAAGATGGACGAACTCAGCCTGCTCATGAGAAGAAACAAGGACTTCGCCACATCCTGTGTCCTCTGCTTCACTGAGACCTGGCTAAATGAGCGGATCCCGGACTGCGCTCTGGAGCTGCAGGGCTTTGGGCTGTTTCGCGCGGATCGCCATTGTGCGCTCTCAGGGAAGAGCAGAGGCGGTGGGCTGTGTTTCTACGTCAATACAAACTGGTGTAACGATGTGACAGTGATCTCCAAGCACTGCTCTCCTGCTCTGGAATATCTTTTCATTCATTGTAAACCATATTACTCCCCGCGGGAAATTGTTTCATTCATTCTTGCCTCTGTTTACATACCGCCATGCGCGGACGCGCGCGAGGCTCAGCGCGCACTCGCAGAGCAAGTACTGTGTATGGAACGCTTATACCCGGACTCTCTGATTATTATCCTGGGGGATTTTAATAAGGGAAACTTGAGCCAGGAATTACCCAAATACAGACAGTTTATCAAATGCCCGACCAGAGAGGAGAACACTCTGGATCACTGTTACACCACCGTGCGCGGAGCTTTTCGCGCTGTTCCCAAGCCAGCCCTCGGCTTCTCAGATCACTCCATGATACATCTGGTTCCTGCTTACAGACAGAGACTAAAGCTCTCGAAACCTGCAGTGAGGAGCTCCAAAGTGTGGTCTGATGAAGCTGTGGAAGAGCTGCGCGTATGCATGGAATCTACAGACTGGGACCTTTTCAGAGCTGCCACAGACAGCTTGGATGAATATACGGACACTGTGACGTCATACATCCACTTCTGTGAGGATAGCATCATTCCAACAAGGACCAGGGTCATCTATAACAACGACAAACCCTGGTTCACTGCTAAACTCCGGCAGCTCAGGAAAGCAAAGGAGTCTGCTTTCAGGGAGGGGGACCGCAGCGGCTACAAAGCAGCTAAATATCAGTTCAGGAAAGAACTGAAAGCAGCCAAGTCCCGGCACAGAGAACGACTACAGGAGCAGTTTGGTAACAACGATACTGCTTCTGTCTGGAGGGGCCTACGGGAGATCACCAACTACAAACCCAAAGCCCCCCCCTGTGCTGATGACCACAAGCTAGCTGACGATCTGAACTTATTTTTCAGTCGCTTTGATGCTGCCCCTGACACCTCTCCCTCCCCCACCCCCCACTACTCTAACGACCCACCCATCAGCCCTGCCCCCAGCCTAACAATAGCCGCTAAAGAGATTAAACAACTCTTCCTGAGGCTGCACCCCCGCAAAGCTCCTGGCCCGGACCACGTGTCTCCGGCCACTCTGAGACACTGCGCCAGTGAGCTTACTCCTGTGTTCACGGACATTTTCAACTCCTCTCTGCAGTCCTGCCATGTCCCGGCCTGCTTCAAATCCTCCATCATTGTCCCCGTCCCGAAGAAGCCCAGGATCACAGGACTCAATGACTACAGACCTGTAGCACTTACGTCTGTCGTCATGAAGTCATTTGAACGCCTGGTCCTCTCCCATCTCAAGTCCCTCACCTCCCCCCTCCTGGACCCCCTGCAGTTCGCCTACAGAGCCAACAGATCTGTAGACGACGCCATTAACCTGGCCCTCCACCACATCCTACAGCACCTGGACTCCCCGGGGACCTACGCCAGGGTCCTGTTCGTGGACTTCAGCTCTGCCTTCAACACAATCCTGCCATCCCTGCTCCAGGACAAGCTCTCCCAGCTCAACGTGCCCGATTCCACCTGCAGGTGGATCACTGACTTCCTGACGGACAGGAAGCAGCGAGTGCGTCTGGGGAAGAATGTCTCGGACTCTCGGATTATAAATACAGGAGCCCCACAGGGCTGTGTTCTTTCTCCCCTGCTCTTCTCCCTGTACACCAACCACTGCACCTCCAGCCACGACTCCGTGAAGCTGATCAAGTTCGCGGACGACACCACCCTCATTGGACTCATCTCCAACAACGATGAGTCCGCCTACAGGAGGGAGGTGGACCGGCTGGTGTCCTGGTGCAGTGGTAACAACCTGGAGCTGAACGCCCAGAAGACAGTGGAGATGATTGTGGACTTCAGGAAGAGCACTGTCCCCCCGCCCCCACCCTCCGTGATGGACTCCCCCATCACCTCTGTAGAGTCCTTCCGTTTCCTGGGCACCACCATCACCCAGGACCTCAAGTGGGAGCCGACCATCAGCTCCCTCATCAAGAAGGCCCAGCAGAGGATGTACTTCCTGCGGCAGCTCAGGAAAGCCAAGCTGCCTGCACAGATGTTGGTGCAGTTCTACACGGCCATCATCGAGTCCATCCTCACCTCCTCCATCACCGTGTGGTTCGCTGGAGCCACAGTCAGGGACAAACAGAGACTACAGCGCATTGTGCGCTCTGCAGAGGAAGTGATCGGCCGCAGCCTTCCATCGCTGCAGGACCTGTACGTCGCCCGAGCTCGAGGCCGGGCTGGTCGTATCACAGCCGACCCCTCTCACCCTGCACATGGACTATTCCAACCACTCCCCTCAGGCAGGAGGCTGCGGTCCATCAGGACTAGAACCTCCCGCCACAAGAACAGTTTCTTCCCCTCTGCTGTTGGACTCTTGAACACTTCTTAACCTGTCCCCCCGCCCTTTATAAAGTCACTTTACTGCCCATCATACGTCACTTTACTTCACTGTACTGCTGTCACCTTACATTGTGTGCACCATGTGCACTTGTATATTGTAAATAGTAACTGTAACTCTATTTTAAATTTAAATTTATTCTTTAGAAGTGTTTTTTATTCTTATTTTTATTATCTCTTTTTGACTGTTGCACTGAGCCAAAGCAATTTCCAAGTCTGTGACCTCCCGTTACTTACGTTGGCAATAAAAATTATTCTGATTCTGATTCTGATTCTTCAGATAAGTTGACCTCACTCTAACTTGGTGCTCTGTAAAAACGACAACTCAAAATTGTTCACCTTACTAAGATTTTTGCATCCATTGACTATAAAATCACCAGTTGGAACTGGAACTGTCTGTTGTGAGCCACTTGAACTCCCTTTCAGAAGTTGATTAAGTTGATTTAACTTTAACTACAACTTCAAAGTAAAATGAACTCAATTTATCAAATAAGGTGAACTTTTCATCAGTAACTTCTGAAAGTGAGTTCAAGTGGCTCACAACAGACAGTTCAAGTTCCAACTTGCAATTTTATTGTTGGTGAATGCAAAAATCTAAGTAAGGTGAACAATTTTGAGTTGTCGTTTTTACAGTGGTCTTGGATATGACCACGTTACGCGGCGCCGTTTGCCGTGATCCCAGCCGCTGGAGGTGGGAACTGCTGTCCAGAGCGCCCGCAGCTCAGCTCGCAGAGTTCATACAGGAAACGCGTGTATTCCTTTTAAACTTGGATTCCCAGAGGGCCTACCTGCTCTGTCACCATATCACACGCGCATCTGTCTGCAGCATTCTGAGTGTTTTTGTGGGATGCATGGGCATGCGTCAATCTCGTTAATTAATGGAATTGTTTTTTTATCGTGCGTTAACGCGATCATTTTGACAGCCCTATTTAAAACAAAATTATTCTTTCCTCAATGTCTGATTCAGAATCTTTTTATTTGACTGTATATTTTGATTGGTCACCTACCTCTACAGGCGGACTCATATCCTTCCTTCATCATGTCATCCACAGTTTCTGTCAGACAATTGTAGATTTGTTTCTTCCTTTCGCGTATCTCATTGCAGAGTTTTGTCTTCAGTTTCTCTTCCTTAGATCAAAGTATTTAAATCATAATACACATACCATTCACTGTACTACAGAGCCTCAGAAATGGCAAATAAGAGAAAAAATGTATGATTGAGGGTAAAAAAATAAGAAGGTATCTCGAGATACAGAGCTAGGAGTAGAGCCGCTGCTTCTCCACGTCGAGAGGAACCAGTTGAGGTGGCTCGGGCATCTGTTCCGGATGTCTCCTGAACGCCTCCCTGGGGAGGTGTTCCGGGCATGTCCCACCGGGAGGAGACCCCGGAAAAGACTCAGGACCTGCTGAACGGACTGTGTCTCCCAGGTGGCCTGGGAACGCCTTGGGGTCATCCCAGATGAGCTAGAGGAAGTGTATGTGGATAGAGAGGTCTGGGTGTCTCTGCTTAGAGTAAAGTATCTCGAGATACTGAAAATATATGCAGTTTACAGATAGAGTGCTATCAGTGCTAAATACTTCCAGCTACTGCTATGTAAACAAACGCACATCCATGGCGAAGGTTAAATGAGTTATATTTTTAAATGGGCTTGACATAAGGTCATTAAACCAGGTCTCGGTCACACACAAGTTTTGTAATTTAAGCAAGAGATGCATATTGATTTTTGTGTTGCAAGCACTACTTGGAACTTGTGGATGGGGTTGAGTTAATTAATTTTACATCAACTTGAGGCTCTGGTCAACTCCACAGTAGAGAAATTGAGTTACGTGCCGGACCCCAAAGAAGTACAAGCAAAGCACTTGTGCTGACGACCACAAACTGGCTGACGACCTGAACCGGTTTTTCAGCCGCTTTGATGCTGCCCCGGACACCTCCCCCACCCCCCACTCAGGGACGTGCGGTGAGGTTTGTGATTGGGGAGGCACTGACTTTAAAAGTCAGATTTACAATCATTATTCAAATAAAATAGCATTTAATCACCAATGCAATGACATCCACAAACTTTATATACTGTAAAGATAAGAGAACCAGCTTCTTTTAATAATCTCACAACAAATCTAGCTGCTGACTCTGCTCCGCATCAAACAACATCTTTAAGAAGCGCAGGTGCGAGAGACGCGAGGAGAGAGAGACGCGAGGAGAGAGGAGCAGAGAGAGACAGAGAGGAGCAGAGAGACGGAGACGCGAGGAGAGAGAGACGGAGACGCGAGGAGAGAGAGACGCGAGGAGAGAGGAGCAGAGAGAGACAGAGAGGAGCAGAGAGACGGAGACGCGAGGAGCAGAGAGAGACGGAGACGCGAGGAGAGAGAGACGCGAGGAGAGAGAGACGCGAGGAGAGAGGAGCAGAGAGAGACAGAGAGGAGCAGAGAGACGGAGACGCGAGGAGCAGAGAGAGACAGAGAGGAGCAGAGAGACGGAGACGCGAGGAGAGAGAGACGGAGACGCGAGGAGAGAGAGACGCGAGGAGAGAGAGACGCGAGGAACATAAACAATAATTTAAACAAGTTGCAGAACTCTTGAGCCGTGTTTGAATCAGTGTTTTTCGGAAAAGCACTACTTTGCCGGTATCTGTCAATGTTCAACATAAAACACAGATTAACAAACTCCTCCCCCGCAGCCGGACTAACCTCGTAAGTCCAGTGGTGGTCTCCCAGTCTATATTAATTCTTTCTTTGTTTGAAAGTCCAATTGAGAAAAAAAATCTTCATTCAAATCATCCATTTTCCAGCAAAAGAAATAGCATTTTGGGCTGATTGTTTGTTAGCAACTCTGGTATGAACTTTATGCTCACTATCACCCCTAGCGGTGAGGCACAGATACCGCCTGCCTCACGCCAAGCTTTTTCCTTGTGTGTTCATCTACGATCAAAAGACTTAAACTAAATATAAATTGTACACACATACGTGCAATACACTACTAAACACTAAGAGGAGTTTAAAAAATGTTTTTAAAGCAGGATATTTGAAACAAACGGTGATATATCAACTGCACGAGCTGAGTGCACTCAGACACACACACACACACTGTGAGGGAGCGGTCTGGGGTGAGGCACGCAGGAGCGCTGCCTCACCTCGTCTCTTTGAATAGGAATAACGGGATTTCGGCGATTTTGACTTCAGAAATGATCAAAACTGATGGGAACCGTGCCGAATATACATTAAAAGCATAGGACAGTGGATATAAATTATATATTTAAACTAAAATAATTATTAGTTTCCAATAATGGCAGGTGAGGCTCTGCCTCCCCTGCCTCCCCTGACTGCACGTCCCTGCCCCCACTACTCGTAACGACCCACCCATCAGCTCTGCCCCCACCCTGACAAGACATTAAAGGACTCTTCTCGAAGCTGCACCCCCACAAAGTTCCTGGCCCAGACCATGTGTCTCCTGCCACTCTGAGGCTGAGTTTACACGGAGACAATGTGGAAGTAAAACGGTATAGTTGGATATCGGTTGCTACCAACCGTTCATACAAAGACTGTGTTCCAGGGGGGTGAAAACGTAAGTGTTCAGATCCAGCCTGCAGAGTAGGACAACTCAGAAACGCTGCACAGCGGAGAGCTCTTTCACACCCGCGAGAGGGAAAAAGGTGTAAAATCTCTGTCTGCTCCGCGCTGCTCCCCGCACGTAAATTTGGACATGCGCAGTAGCGGAGAACAAACATCAACAACAATGGCGGCGGTCACAGTAACTAGCTACGTGGGCTTCCAGCGCGGGACAGAGGATAATTCTACTCCTTCGTTCGTCCAAACGAGACCACGCGAAGCTCTAGGTTCAGTTTCCATTTTCACAGCTGCTGTTAAAATGCAGAATGATGTTGGTGCGTTCTGAGGGTCTGGCACAGGAAGTGAGTACACTGCCGAGAGGGGGGCTAGGCACGGGGTTTGGGGTTGGAGTGTTGTAAAGTTTCTCTGCCCACTACTGGCCGGGCACTAGAACTACATCGTTTTTCAACCTCATGTGAACGCAGAGAAATTTGCATTAGGAGCCTGGTTGTTTCTGTTAATAGCCTGGAAACGTCTGCGCAGCGTCTCAGTATAAACAGGGCCTCAGACACTGCGGCAGTGAGCTAACTCCTGTCTTCAGTGACATTTTCAACACCTCTCTGGAGTTATGCCATGTCCCGGCCTGCTTCAAATCCTCCATCATTGTCCCCGTCCTGAAAAAGCCCAGGATCACAGGACTCAATGACTACAGACCTGTGGCACTGACGTCTGTAGGCATGAAGTCATTGGAGCGCCTGATCCTCTACCATCTCAAGTCCTTCACCTCCCCCCTCCTGGATATCTTGCAGTTCGCCTACAGAGCCAACAGATCTGTAGACGACCCTCCACCACATCATACAGCACCTGGACTACCCAGGGACCTACGCCATGGTCCTGTTTGTAGACTTCAGCTCTGCCTTCAACACGATCCTGCCATCCCTGCTCCAGGCCAAGCTCTCCCAGCTCAACGTGCCTGATTCCACCTGCAGGTGGATCACTGACTTCCTAACGGACAGGAAGCAGCGAGTGTCTTGGACTCTCAGATTATAAATACAGGAGCCCCACAGGGTTGTGTTCTTCCTCCGCTGCTCTTCTCCCTGTACACCAACCACTGCACCTCCAGCCACGACTCCGTGAAGCGGACGACACCACCCTCATCGGACTCATCTCCAACAACGATGAGTCCGCCTACAGGAGGGAGGTGGACCGGCTGGTGTACTGGTGCAGTGGTGATAACCTGGAGCGGAACGCCCAGAAGACAGTAGAGATGATTGTGGACTTCAGGAAGAGCACTGTCCCCCCGCCCCCACCCTCCGTGATGGACTCAAGTGGGAGCCATCAGTTCCCTCATCAAGAAGGCCCAGCAGAGGATGTACTTCCTGCGGCGTCTCAGGAAAGCCAAGCTGCCTGCACAGATGTTGGTGCAGTTCTACACGGCCATCATCGAGTCCATCCTCACCTCCTCCATCACCGTGTGGTTCGCTGGAGCCACAGTCAGGGACAAACAGAGACTACAGCGCATCGTGAGCTCTGCAGCGAAGGTGATTGGCCGCAGCCTTCCATCGCTGCAGGACCTGTACGTCGCCCGTGCTCAAGGCCAGGCTGGTTGTATCACAGCCGACCCCTCCCACCCTGCACATGAACTATTCCAAACACTCCCCTCAGGCAGGAGACAACGGTCCGTCAGGACTAGAACCTCCCGCCACAAGAACAGTTTCTTCCCCTCTGCTGTTGGACTCTTGAACACTTCTTAACCTGTCCCCCAGCCCTCTAGAAGTCCCCTACTGCTCTTTATAAAGTCACTTTACTGCTCTTTATAAAGTCACTTTACTGCCCATCATACGTCACTTTACTTCACTGTACTGCTGTCACCTTACATTGTGTGCATCATATGCATTTGTGTATAGTAATTGTAACTCTATTTTAAATGTATTCCTTAGAAGTGTTTTTTATTCTTCATTTTTTATTATGCTTTCTCTACCCTTTCTGACTGTTGCACTGAGCCAAAGCAATTTCCAAGTGTGTGACATCCTATTACTCACGTGGCAATAAAAATGATTCTGATTCGGTACCCGTGGAGTTGACCGGAGCTCCGAAGTTGGTGTGAAATGAACTAAACCCTGTCCACAAGTTCCAAGTAGCAATGATGGGCATACAGTATGAAGCCCAGTTACACACCGAGGCACAAATGTGTGTTTGTTGACATAGCAGTAGCCTGAAGTATTAGGACTTGTAGCTATATCAGTAAACCACATATATTTTCGGTATACCTCTTTTTGTTTTTTTACCCTGAATGCATTTGTTTTCTCTCTACTATGCCTCCTCAGGGTGTATTATACAGATTTAACGTTACCTCTCTTTTAATAAATATAAGCAGGAGTTTAACTTCTTGGTTATTTTCCATCAACTGGCCACAGTCAAGTGAAAAACTGTGAATGCTGCCATAGAAGGGTCCATCTTTTCCAGAATTTCTAAACAAATACAAAAATTAGACACAGCCTCATTTTGCTTTCTTGTGTCACCCACAGCAGGTGGTGCTGACATCCCCCACAGCAGGTAGCGTTGGGTTTTCTCGTTTTATGGGAGCTATTTCTTTTGATGTATGTGTCTTTTGTATAATTTGAAATCTTTTTACTTCAAGTTGTACTTTTTCCTATCTTTAATAATAGGGCTTTTAAAATCTTAAACGTTTTGAATGTATTGTGTTGTTATGTTTTGAAAGAAGACTTACGGAAAGGCCGTTCTGAATTTCAAGTCGATGCTGTTAGTTAGAAAGAAGGAAATGGCTGTGTTTAGGTTGATTTGCTTTCCTTTTCCTGTTCTGTGGTTGCCGTTTTTCTTCATAACACTTTGAACCGTTGAAAAATTGTTTCCCATGTCACGCTGAAGAAAAGCAATCACACACACACACACACACACACACATATTGTGGGATATTAGCAAATAATATATAAGTAATCCATTAAAAAATCAATGATTTGGTACAAATCACTACAATCTTGCGTTCCATGGTGCTTTCCCCTTCTTCTTTGGCCCTGTTGACTCCTTCTGTGAGAGTTGTTTTAAAGTCCTGGAATACTTGATCCATCTTCTTTATAATCCCTTCGATCTTACAGTCTTTTCTGCCACAGAGCTCTTGATACAGTGCCATTTTCTGTTGGACCTAAAACCAAACACATTACATGACTAGAAAAACATCCCCTTTAGTCCTGTTGTCCATGTTTTAAACTTACATTTCCAAAGCGCGCACCCACCATCAGAGCCAGGATGCTGTAGGCTGAGGATATATAATTTGACACAAGTTCTTTCCGGTCATTCAGACTATGAAGAAAAGCCTGGAGTTTAACTATCTCTGGATTGACAAAATAAATGCTTAGATGTCTTCAAAAATGTGTTCAATTTCAATTTCCTTTAAACGTCTTACCATTAACTGCTGCTGATTTTGTCTTCTTAGAGCTCACAATAAATACTTTAAAGCAGTTCTCTTCAAATTGACTCTGAAAAAGACCATACGGATACGCATGCTTACATTCAATGTTTTTTATGTTTTAATTGTATTAATTTTATTTTCTATTAGAAGCACAACCACACTGGAATACAAGTGCAAAATAAAACAAAAAAATGCATGTTATACAGTATATATATACTGTATATATATACAGTACAGACCAAAAGTTTGGACACACCTTCTCATTCAAAGAGTTTTTTATTTTCATGATTATGAAAATTGTAGATTCACACTGAAGGCATCAAAACTATGAATTCACTCATGTGGAATTGTACATACTAAAAAAAAAGTATGAAACAACTGAAAAATATGTCTTATAATCTAGGTCAGTGGTCGGCAACCCAACAGGTTCAAAGAGACAAATTTGACAAAAAAAAACTAAAAACATCTGTCTGGAGCCGCAAAAAAATAACAGCCTTGTATAAGGCTTATATGAAGGTAACACAGGCTGCAAGCTGTATTAGCTACATTAGCCTAATATCTAAATGACAAAGTAAAGGCTATAATACATAATAAGCATTCATGATCATCAAATGTGTATTTTCTCTGCAGCGTGTCCTGGAGAGAATGACGCACCATGTGACGACTCTGCTTTAACTTTCACTTCCATTTGTTTTGCCTTCATGCAATTGTAGAAATACAGTCAATAAATCTGCTTTTTGGCTCAGAGTTCACATACCTGCATCTGCTCATATCGATCACATCACAGGCTGAAGTTTTCTGGAGCTGAATTAATGTCCTTAATGGCCTTTTCTTTCACAGTCTTTGCGGAGGTTTTTGAAGTCTGAAAGTAGGTGCTCTGACTTTATGATGAATGAATCCTTCACTTAATCACCGTGAACGGTGTTTCGCGCTTCATTGTTCCTCGTGTTGCAACAAATCTTCTCATTACAAACATGAAGCAGTCCTTCCTCATTGACTGAAAGCAAATGTTCATTCTTGTTCTTAGTCCAGTCTTATTATCGACTCTTTCTCTTTTTAGCTTTGGGATCCATGCGCAAATGCCGGTTTGTTTACCACAGCAGCCGCCTGGCACAGGGCCGTGTGATGGCAATCTGCTTGTGACTCGGGGACGCCAACTCACCCCCCCCTGCTGCTCTATCCAGCTAACCTGCAGGAAGGAGCCAGTCCTTCCCGCACCGCCAGACAATGATGCAAATCACTGTCTCACCCCTGTCCCTTTCGCATCTGTATGCCTGCCTCTCTACATCCTGCATGACCATTGTCTGTCTGTTTGCAACTCCATGCCACTGTCTGATTGCCTCACCACGGGCATGGCGCCTCTCCCTATGCGCCTCCTGTACTGGTGGCCCCCTCCCATCTGTTGTGGGCGTGACTGTCTTTATGTGTTGTCTATGTAAACAGGAACCTGAGCTCTGCGCGCCAGAGCTCAGGTGACTGTCTTTATGTGTTGTCTATGTAAACAGGAACCTGAGCTCTGCGCGCCAGAGCTGGTATATGCTGTCTTTTGTATATGTTAGCTCTCCGCACGTGTGTACAATAAACTTACGCTCCTGAATTAAGACAAAGACCTTTGAGCTTCTTCCTTGCTTTGGATAGAAACTTCCATAACAATTTGGCGTTGCTGGCATGTCTTGGCATGGATACTTTCGGCGGGGACGAGCGGCCGCGTTTGGCCGACCTGGAACAACACCAGCCTCTGCTCTATTTTGAGACAAAGGGAGGGCGCTCGTCCGGCGCGTGAACAGAATCTTTGGCCACACAAGACCAAAAAGAACCTGATTTGGTGAGTTTTGTCTTTTCATCTGCGTAACGAGCCCAGGGCAGCACTTAAGTGTACACGGGGATTTGTTTATTTACGTATTTTTGGGGTATTTCATTCATTGCCACAGCATAGACTGTGTGCGGGATTTTTTGGGGTATTTCATTCATTGCCACAGCATAGACTGTGTGCGGGATTTTTGGGGGTATTTGTTCTAGATTGAAAGCTAGCGGCTGCGCGTTAGTATCGCTCTGTAAGCGACCCTGGAATCTCTAAGTGTCTTCAGCCAGACCCGCTTCGTTTCAAGAACGCGCGCTCGTTGGGTAGATAGAACCCACGGGGGGGAACGGAGCGCCCCAAAGTGGGTAAGAGCAGGGAGAGACTAAGCGGGTTAGGCCCATTGTTCTATACGAGAAAATGGGGAAAAATCAATCTAGAGATGCCAAACCGAGGGGAATGTTTGACGTCCCCCGTTACAATGGCTATGGAAGAACGGTTCGGATCTAAAGCTATGGAGTGTTTGCCTATATGGTGTAGTTTCATTTGGTTTTCCCGACGGAGGGTCTTTGTCTCTAAATCAATTACGCATTTTGCGTGATAATTTAGAAGAAGAAAGGGAAAAAATACTTGGTTTTAAGAAAATTACAGCAGAAGATGTTAGGGCCATACTGAAACACCAGACCTGTCTTGCCATGTGGGAGGATTTAGCTACAGAACGGGACCGCAAAAAGACGAATAAAGCCATAGCTGCTCCGCCTTCCACGGAAGGAGGGGACGCACAGGCAGACACACAGGCAGACACACAGGCAGACACACACACACACACACACACACACATCCCACACACCCCCCACCCTACCGCCCCTTCTCACCTACTAACCCATTCACAGAAGGAGCAGAACTCCATGCTAAGTACGCGCCCAAGCAAAGCGCTGTGTTAAAAAATGTGCAGACTACTGTTGTCCCCTCTCTCTCCCTCTACCCAGATCTGTCTACGCTTTCCTCCGTGGCCCCGCTGTATGAAACCGGCCCCTGTCCTACGCCTGAAACACCGCCGCGCCAGAGCCAACCACGTCAGTGCCTCCCAAAGCCTCTCGCATCTGCTGACGCCCCACAGGAAGTGGCCCCCGCGCTGCCAGCAGCAGAAGGAGAAGCACCAGAAGCAGAGCCGCGATGGAGCAGGGAAACGCTCCGGCGGGAACCAAGGCCCACAAATCACTTCGTCGCCACTTTCAATGAGCACTCTGGTGTACCCCCGAAGCTCCCAAGTGCAACGGAAGGGGAGGAGAAGGACAATCCCGTTTACAACGGTTATTTATGCTCCAGATTTGTCGAAGGACTGTTACCAGAGGTGGCTTTAAAGGTGCGGGACTCGTATGTCGCATTTGATGACGGACCACAGATAAAGGAACTACTTATGCACGCCAAACATGCAGTTTTTTGTTTGGAAACATTTAAAACTCAGGCTACACTGCTGTCGGTCCAAGCCCCTAATTCCTTAAACCCCAATGACATTTCCAAAAAGGACAAAAAAGGGATGGGAGAAAAACAACGGACCGTGGACATGCTGGAACTGTGGAAAAGTTGGCCACAGGGCAAGACAGTGTCGCAAGCCGCGGCAGGGCGGCCAGCAGCAGGGCGGCCAGCAGCAGTGGCAGCCGCAGCAGAGTGGCCAGTGGCAGCCGCGGCAGAGCGGCCAGCACCAGTGGCAGCCGCGGCAGGGCGGCCAGCAGCAGTGGCAGCAGTACCAGAACGTCCCGCAGGAGTGGCAACAAAACCACAACCGAGAGCCGGACCAGTACCAGCAGCAACACCATTGGCACCAGGCACAACAGAGTCAACACGGACAACAGCACCGCTATGAAGGCTCACAACACGGCAACCACCAGATGCGCCACGAGGCGGACTGACTAGGCGGGACAGACAGCGGGCTGGCGGTGAACACAGGGGTGCCACGAAGGAAACCGTACGGGAGACTCATCTACCGGGTAACGCACACATACACGTCACCGAAGCGATCACTCATCTTTCACGTAAGTTTGAACCAACTGCAATCGGCACGTACACATTTTTTTGAGAAAATTCATGCTGAATTCCCGTAACATACGCTAACAATCTGTGGTGTAAAACTTAAAATTCTGGATGATTCAGGGACAACAAATCCTGTGTTTAAAACAAAACATAAGGTGACAGATTTTGGTCCGTTCTCAAATGAGTGGTCGCTTCACAAAATTCATGCAGTGTAGTGAAGATAGGCTAACGGAGTACGTTTATTGAGATAGGCACCACTATCTGTGCTACTTAATGAGCAACAAAAACATTTTATCGTGAAACAAAGGTGAAGTACTAAAGTTTGAGACTAATTTACATTTTTTTTAATGAATCCGACCTGGCTTTATTGAAAAAGAAAAAAGAAGGAAAAAGAACATTTTAAGGTAACAAGAGCTCATTAAAAATATAGGGGACACAATCTGTGATAAGCCCGAAGTACAGACCACGTGGTAAACACTAAAGTTGGAAATGGATCCTTTTTTTTTTTAGGAAAAATCTCTTAAAAGCTCTGCATGTTCTGCAGGCTCTGAAAGTTGCAACAATAGAAATAGCTCATGAGACAATTGTAATTGGACATGGAAAATATAACAAAGTTAAAATTACAGGCCTTTTGTGTGTGTTATATGTTTGTGTATGTTATATGTTTGTGTATGTTATATGTTTGTGCGTCATGTCAAATACACTACGTTGACCTTAACAAACTGGACCAATATACTAACGTGGGGTGTTGTGAGTGTGTTGTGGAGTGAACGAGGAGTGCTGAACGGAATCATGGAATAACAAATGTTTCTGTAATGTTTTAATGTGATCATGGAATAATTATTTTTTGTCAACAGCATACGGTGTAAGTACTAGAGATTCAAAGATAACAAGCTTTATTGAACAGGTGTAAAAGTGAGAGTACTCTGGGATGAGTACTCTGAGAAAAGTACTCTGCGGAAAGTACTCTGAGATGAAATACCTTGCTGAAGATATTGGGAAGTCCCTCCCTCTGCTGTTTGCCCTGACAGTGATTCGGTCCAACCGCAGTGAGCTGTCGTTGGTTGAAGGACAACTTTGGTTTGTAAACTCACATTTAGGGGAGTATAAAATTAGAAACATACATTTTGTTAAGTCTGTATTTGGCTGATGTCACACACCGTCTGTCAATGCAGTTATGTTTTGCCCAATTGGAAAAAAGATGGACAAGCGAAAGTGGGCATTTTTCGTGTTTT